CCCCCCCATTTTCGTGTTTACCGTTCAGCCCCTGCATCGACTTGGCCTCTTATTTTTACGGTTATTTGTGGTATATGAATCATGTACACACATACAGGTCCTTGGCTGTGTCACTGCCAGTCCCAGTTAATGTCATCCGTGGTTGGTAAGCACCGGTAGATTTCCGTACGACCGCTTACCTTCCCCGGCACTCCTATTACACCATATTCTGGTATCTTTTGTTTTAAACGCGCTCGATCCTTACCTTTAACTCTCTGAGTGAAATAAACCCACTTTGCCAATATGGCTCCTCTAGTACAGCCCTTATCACCCAAACCCAAAATAGAGGTGCAATTGATGTCACAAGCATGTTATTAAAAATATTAACTGCACAGATTGCTAACTGTGTTTGATTATTTTAGGGTCCCACATTAAGAAGCTTGTATAAAAGTTTCACTCTCCTGGAACCATGAATAATTAAAAATAATTCATCGTTTAACCCCAAAAAGGAACATACGTTACTGTCACAAATACAAAACGTCCAATGTGAAACGTTCTACTCACTTTGAAAATTCAGTCATCACTGGTTTTGTTCATTGATTTATCTCCTACAAGTATAACGTTGCTAAAAATTATAATAATCTTCTGTATAGTCCAGTTAATTGTTTTTGAGCGACTTAAGTTTGCTTGTCACAGAATATTTAAAAATGGGGAAAATACACCCTACCGACAGTAAGATAAGCATTAAATAAACATGTTTCCCATCATGATCCAAAGATTATATCAGTTTTTATGGGAAAAGGTCCACTTACCATACATCCACATACTTTTAACCTATTGTATTACATCCCCGGTATAGAGTACCTCTAAGAGCCCTGTGTGACAAATTTACCTGCACATCGTACTCCCTACAAATTACATATCTATCAAACATTTGTAGGAGTACTTACATGTACCCGTACAACATCATGTGATGGTTTGTTAATACAAAAGAAAATGTAATGTACTCGTATCTATAGGCGTATAACAAGCCATTCCGAGTTAACCACATAAAAGATGATGGACAGTGATGATAATCACCAAGCAGACCTGTAGCCAGAATTTTAAAAGGGTGATTCTTTTTTCTGAAAAAGTGGACCTTCACCATGGTATGCAGTGTTTAGACAATTTATACTGGATTTATTGTATTTAGACAAAGGAATTCAAGACAACGCTATGGGTTTGCTGTATCGCCATTATGTTATTAAATTAAATTAAATTAAATTAAATTAAATTAAATTAAATTAATGGCACTTAAGTAGCGAGGAACGATCTCCACATATTTATGTGAAATAGGCGTTTTGGATATATATTCACTCCAAAATGGTGCTGTATTTATCATTTTAATTAGATATATCCAAACTTGTGTTAATAACAGAGCAATTTTTATATTATTTTGAGCTTATTCCATATAGCTGCAATATAGTTTTTTATATTCCGTATACATACAGAAAGCCGTTCTAGAACCTAGAGATTACCATTCTATATATAAATACATTGTAGTTTATCACCACAGCAGTGGCGTATTTGGTCACATGTCTCATATGAACTCCTTGGCTTGACCTAAGTCAGTCAAAATCTAGGGCGAGGCTTACCTGTACAAATGAATGAGAAGTGGAATCTCTCTTATGAGGGACTCTCTGTTACGTTACACCTGGACTCGGCAGTGAACAAGACCAGTGTAAAAGGAATGGTAGTCCTATTAGTATTAAATGAAAAATGTGTCAAAATGTGCATTTCTGTCACTTGTCAACATGCCACAGATGTCTGAAATCATGAGGGAGCGTGCCATCGGCATGCTCAATGCTGGCTTGTTGGTAACAGAAGTTGCAACATGCCAGAATGTGCATCATTACACTGTCAGCCGTCTGAGAACACGCTTCAGAGTCACTGGTAGCATTAGGAACCGCCCGCATATCCGCCAACCATGTGTTACCACACCCGATATGTCGCCCACTGAACACATGTGGGATGTTCTGGATCAGCGTTTTCATCATCATGTTCCAGCTCCCGAGAATGTTCGCCAACAGCGAGTAGCACTCCAGAAGGAATGGGATAATATCCCTCAGGCCACTATTGACAACATGGTGATGCCCATGCGCTGCCAGTGCACTGCTCTGTGCGAAGTTGATGGTGGCCATCCTTGTTATTAGTATCTGATGTGAACTCAGGATGTTGACCCCCATGGTGTAGTTGATACCCTAGCTCTTGGACTATGCATTTAAACTTCCCGTAATGCTATCAAAGTGATGTCTATTTGTTGAGGAAAATATGCTGTTAATGTTGGCTATATACTCTAGTTCCATACATGAAAATAAATCAACATATGCTTTCGTGCGTTTATATTTTTGTTCAGTATATATGTCAGGAATACAGGTCCCATTAGGACTACCATTCCTATTCCGGGCGTACCTGCATTCCGTTTACATCGGTCTTCCTGATGCCGTTCACTCACGCTCCACGTGGAAGTTGGAAGTTGAAGAATTTGACGCGTGACGGTGCTGTTTTGACGATTTTTATTATATTTTTATTTGAGGCTGGAAATATCCATGAACTTCCATGATTTGAGCAAAAAATGCCACTCGTTAAAGGACAGCTACACGCGTCTTGGCATCCCTTCGTCCTGGCACATAGACACACACGACTTTAAGTCTCCCAAAGAGCTGGCACACAGACTGAAAGAACTAGATAAAGACGACGTTGAATATGCCACTGTTCCCACGCCCGACGCCAGTATTTCAGAAAGTGTGAATTTAATGCCCGACTTGACCATTAGATGTTTCAATAAACTTTCAAAATAGCTTTCTATTTAATGTAATGTTTTCTGAAATGTAAAGCAAGGCTGACACTTGCACGATTCTGTGGCACGCATTGGCAAGACTCGAGTCGTGTCAGTGCGCAAACTAGTCGTGAACTGGCGTGAAGAAATTCAAAATATTGGTCACGACAAAATTTCGCGACTGTTCGTGAACTCGTCGTGAACTCGTCGGGACGATGCGAGAGGATGCGTGCCAGTGCGTGGCAGTGCGCGCCATGCCACGACTGTTACGAACTGCCGAATAATTCACGAGCAGCTCACGTATATCGCGTGCCCAAGTCGGCACGACACCGTCCGAATTGCGCAAACTCGTCGTGCCAATGCGGGAAGTGCGTAAACTATGCGCAAACTATGCGTGAACTTGTCGTGCTACTTTGTGTCAATGTGGACATGCATTCGTAAACTATTCGTGAGCTCGTCGTGAACTCGTCGTGAACTAAGCATGAACTAGTAGGGAACAGTGCGGGAGCCTCCCACTTCGTGCCCCAAAATGGCACGACCTGCCACGACAAAATCGGGGCCAAAATCGTGCAAGTGTCAGCCTTGCATTACTGTTACATGATGATTCTAAAAGAAAAATAAATAAATAAATAAACTTTTGACAAAATCAAGGTGTTGTTTTCATTAATATAAATGCAATTGGGAAAATATCCAAGGCCTCATGTACATCAA